GCTGGCAAAACCAATTTATAGCGAGAGAAGTCAGAATTGTGGCTATGTCTTGGTTGGAGGGGGGTGATGGTGTTGACTGGCAAAAGGCCTGAAGAAGCCTTTGCAGTGCTAAAAATGTTCTATAGCATTCCTCTGCGTAGTGGCTACATGGATCTGTGGCAACTAGCCTCTGAGAAGGCCCCCTAAGCTCTCCTCCCCTGGTGTTCTTGTACTTACGCTCTTCTCCTCCTGTACGGGATCAGGACTGGTCTGTGTGATCAGGAGACTATGGCAAAGCATAGTCCAACAGAAGAGTGTTGTGAGGGGCTTACCTGCTCCTATTATCTGTGTTCAGCTAGGTAACCTCCTACTATCTACAGGGGCTTCTTTTAGGGCCAGCACTTGCTGGCCCTGGACCTCTTTTTTTTTTTTTTTTTTAGGCAGTCCATCAGCAAAACTTACAATGTCTGTGAATGCTGCAGGGAGTTCTATGACATTAGCAACGGGCCAACTTCTCCATCAGGCACAGTAAACACAGTGCATCGGGCCCCTGATACTTCTAAATTCACACAAAAATGTTTTAATTTCTATTTTAAAATTAGAAGAAAAATAAGAATGTAATAATGAATATGCAATAATGAAGGCTGCCTGTATTATATTCATTTTTATACCCATGCAGTTGTAAAATGTACTTTTAAGTGGTTGTTTTGGGAGGAAGGGGCACCCAAAACAAAGGTAGGTGCCTAGGGCCCACAAAAGTCATAATGCAGCCCTGAGCAAAAGGTGGGGTGCTATGGACTGAATCGTGCACCCCAGATCCATAAGTGTTTAAGCAACCCAGTCTATGGTATTTTGTTCTGGCGGCCTGAGCTACTACAAAGGGAAAAAGTGAAAAAAGTAAGCAAAGAAGGGCTGGGTCCGTCAGCACGGGCTCAGATATCACCGGGTGAACTCAGTTGCATCCTAGTACCCCCCAAAGGCCCGGCTCTGTCTTCATTTCCTATTATTGAACTTCAGCCTTCAAATTAGAAACCAGGCAAGTTCACAACCTGTGCCGAAGTTAGGCATTCTTTTTTCTTTGCCCGCTTGTATCACGGCCTGTTTTGAAGTTTCCAAGTCAGCAGGGAAAAAAAAAAGCTTCTATAATGGAAGGATTCAAAGGCATTTTGTTGTAATAAAATTTTATTAACATGAATATACTGCTCAACGTGCATCCCGAGTCTAGAAGATGAGGTACAATGTTTAGTCAATGAGGTAACCCACGAGAGGGTTAAAGAACCTGTTTTATGGAGGACAGTATGATCATCTGGGTTGAATACACTAAGAGGTCAAGTGAGATGACAGGAAAGGGGTTGTCATTAGATTGGGCAACACAAGAACCAATGACAACTTTAACGAGAGTAGGTATCCCTGTGATTATCCAGGCTTTGTGAGGAGGAGGGGAGCTGGACCCTTACATCACTCCTTGCAGCAAAATAATTCCAGATCATGATTTCCATGGAATCGTTAAAACTGTAGAGGAAAATATGGGATATTTTTTTATTACCCTGCAAACTACTGTAAATTAGTTAAAGTATCTGCAACATATATGCTAGACAAATGAGTTCATTTTCTTAGTAAATAGAGAACTTTTACAAGTCAATATGAGAAAGAAAATAATAGAAAATAAAAAACACAGAAAAAGAAATAAATCATTTATAAATGTATGAAGATGCTTAATCTCACTTATAATTAATCTCTCTTATAATTAATAAAATACAAATTAAAGCGTCACCATTTAAAAAAAAATAAATAAAATAAGTAGGGGCGCCTGGGTGGCTCATCAGTTAAGCATCTGCCTTCAGCTCAGGTCATGATCCCAGGGTCCTGGGATTGAGCCCCACATCCCTGAGCAGGGTGTCTGCTTCTCCCTCTGCCCCTCCCCCCAGGTCCTGCACGCTCTCTCTCTCTCTCTCCCCCTCTCTCCGTTTCTTTCTGTCTCAAATATTTTTTTAAAAAAGAGAAATAAAATAAGTAAAATCACAGATGCCATTTTTCACCTATCAGAATGGCAAACAAAGTGTTGTTAAGGAGGTGGGAATCAGGCACTTCCACATGTTGTTAGCAAAGGAGTAAATTGCAATCTCTTTGGAGGGCAATTTAGCCAGAATGAAAATTAAAATGAACATTTCCTTTGAGCCAATGATAATTTTTTCCAACAGTTCTACTTGTACACAATCGCACGGATTTAGGCACAAGGATGTTCATTGCATTATTGCTTCCAGTAACCAAAGTGACAAACCAAGTGTCCAAAAGGATACTGATTAGGTAATGGATCAAAACTATTAACATGAGTATTTCTAGATTTCCCCTTCCATCTGCAAGGTAAAGAGAATTTTGTTTTGGGTCAACTTTCCCATCTCCCTCCCTACAGTAAATGTTCAATAGCTTTCAGACTTTTGTGATACGATATCACGAGGAAAGCAGAGGACACAGAAAGATGTAAAGCTTTGTGGAATCCAGACAAGCTCAGGAATGTGAGGAAGCATATGGAAGAAAAAAGGTGAATTTTTGCAGTATTACTGGAACCATACAAACCCTTCATATTACCAGAAATGCAATTTGAGACGAGTAATTTGGAAGTATTGCCGGATGGTGAACTATATTTTATTGACTTAGGTACTGCCCTGAGACTGGCCTCTATCACTCCGGCTTCAGGAATGTTATATACACATAATGAAATCCCATAGAGATAGCAGAAGTAGTGAGGTGGAAAAAAACATATTGCTTAATGTAAAAAAAAAAAAAAAAAAGCAAGCTTCAAACTGTGTTCAGTATGTCCCACTTATTTTAAAAGTCCATATATTATATCACATATATGCTTTCAAATGCAGAGTCTTCCAAGGATGTTTCTGCATATTTATAAAGATGTGTATTTAATAATTTCATTTTCCCTCTTATTTTCTCCTTTATTATTATGCAGTCAGTGTTCAATGGTGTTTATAATGATAGTGGTATTAAATATTACCTAAACTAACAAAAAGTCTCTCCTAGGATCTCAACCATGTTAAAACAATTTTTATAGAAAGAAAAAATATACCACAGTGTGACTGATTAAGGATGGAATTATAAATGGTTTTTTATTCTGTCCCTAACTTTTGTGTATTTTCAAAGTTTCTACTGTAAATATGAGTTACTTTATCAGAGAAAAAAACAATACACATTTCTCTTAGAAATATGATAGTTTATTTTAAAAATATTTCCTAGGCATTTGGGTATTATTGAAGTCGTACAAAAGAACTAGGAAAAAAATAGCTAAAGGTCTTTTTGTTATCCTTTTGGTGAATAGTGAACATAATGTGTGGGGCATCAAAATTTCTGCCCATCCCAGACATTTCTCATACTTCCTTTACTCAAGTTAATTATTTAGTAAAGGCTTTTTTTTTTTTCCATTGGGACTTTGCTAAAATTGGAAGGGTAACTAATCTACCACGATCCCAGGAATCCATTAGAACAGTTAAGTTTAGAATTTGAGAGTGCATTGGAACCACCTGGAGGGCTTATTAAAACTCAAAGAGCTGGCTCATCCCGAATTTTTGTTTCAGTGGGTCTAGGGTGGAACCTCCCTCCAATTTGCAGTTCTAACAAGTTCCCAGGTGATGCCGATACTGCTGGTTCAGTGACAACAGTTTGAGTCTCTGCGGAACTAAGGCACACTACTTGATCGCAAATGAATCACCAGAGCGGGAGAGCGCACAGTTGCAGGAGGGCCCGGAAGCCTTCACGTAAGATCTGGGACTGAAGGTCTAGAGGAAATCCATACAGTTTCAACGCCCAGCCAGCCTGGTGGACATCCCAGGGCTGAGGAGGTGGGGAGGCAAGACAGTAACCAAAGCAGACGCTTTGTAAGCGACGCTGGGAATATCACCTGCATCATGGTCCTACCTGGGTTTGATCATTGCCACAGACGGATATTTAGTCTTTTCATTGTAGATTGGCTTCCCCGTTGGGAAAAGAGATCCTTACTTACATTTCCTTAACTTCAAAATGATAATGACTGATGCTTTTGAGCGGTCTCAACAACTGAAATCTGAGGGAAAATATTACTAGAAATGCATATAATAAAAATAAATGCAAGAGCAAAAAAGATAGTATGTGCAAGGCTCAAAAATGGAAGACGCTTCTTTGTCTTACCTGACTTCACCTAGAAATTAAAAATGGACTCTGGTCCCACCTCTGGGTCAACCTTGCGAGGGAGGGAGGTTGGGTTGGGGGGAGGGGGTCTTCTCCCGCGGACCGGTCCAAAGTCACGCTACGCACAGCTCCGCCAGCGGGTGTTAGTTCTAGAGCTTTTCCTAACGTGGGCCGAGAGGCCACCAAGCGGAGATTGGCTGGCTCGGGAGTATCGCCCACCACCGCGCTCCGCCCCTCGCGCTCCCGGATCACAACACGGTCAGGCCACCGCGCGGCACCGCCCCGGGCGTCGCTGAAGCCCGGGCACCGATTCCTTTTTGGTGGCTGAGTCTGGGGCCCTGAATTTGCTCGGAGTACTAATCGGGGCTGAAATAAATACCTATTCCGCTGAGGAGTGGGATCGGAATTGGGAAAACAGTCTCCAAGCGCTCCCATTTACTAAAACCTTCTCGCCCACCGTCCCCAGTTCAGGAAAGACAAAAAGGGGGAAGAGTTAAAACGTCAAAACCACACACTTTCGGCATAACTGCAGAAATATCCTCCCCAGCCGGGTTCCAGAAGTTCGGCTGCCCGAGTCTGGGATCCCTACCCTATGCCGCACCCCCACGGCCACAGGGCAGCGAAACGCACAGCTGACACCACAGAGGAAGCCCAGCCAAAGCAGCGCCGCCCAGTCAGGCCCCGCCCCGCCCCCCCGCTCCGGCTGGGGCCGCCCCGGCCCCGCCCTCCCAGGGTCGGCCCCGCCCCAGAACGGGTCTCGGGCGACCCGGCAGCGGCACCGCCCAGAAAGGGGAGGAGTCGACGACGCCTTCCTCTTTCCTGACCTGCGCTCACCGCCCACCGCCGGCGTTTGCTCCCTCCCTCGGCTGGCACGGGATCCTGAGCCCGCCCAGCGCGCCGAGCCTGGGCAAACCGAGCCGAGCCGAGCCGAGTCCCGCTGTTGTGCGCAGCCCGGCACCGCGGCAGCATGACCGCGCGCGGCCCAGCCCTCGGCCTCCTCCTGCTGCTGCTCTGTCCCGCGCAGGTAAGCGAACGTCCGCGACCCGGGAGGGCGCTGGGTGGGGGGACGAGGCAAGGCGGCGAGGCGCCCGGTTCCCCGAACCGGCGCGGGTCCAGCCGGTCCTGGGGAAGTTGCTTCAGCGCTGGAGCCCCGGGCGTCCGCCGCCCGCTCCGGTTTCTTTCCCTGGCCACGCATTCTTCTCTGTGGTCTGGAAGAGGTGGCAACTGGAAGCAGCTCGCTTGACCTCTCTTGAGCTCATTTCAGCTGTGGTCACCTAATTTCTGGGTTTAGGATGTGCAGTCAGAGGGAAGGACGAAAGTGGGTAGAGAGGGGGCGGGATCTTATTTATTTAACCTGGCTTTAAAAAAAAAAAAATCCGGCCACATGCGCACGAACTCTTTATGAATTTGTTTAGAATATCCTACCACTTTATTTCCCCTTCTCCCGAAGGTGGAGGTGGGAGGGGAGGTAAAGAAAGGAAACAAAATTGCCAAGCGCCAAATTGAAACCGTCCTAAGTCAGCTTGGTCTTCTCGAAGAGTGCAAGTTACTTGTTGTTAACTCTCTTTTACATCTTTAGAAACTGAGACCCAGCAGGGGATCATTGAGTTTCCCCTTGCCGCAATATTAGCTAGCTACAGAGTGGGGCCTGGAACTCGGTGGCCTAACTCCCTGGGTCAGCTTTTCTTTGGTTCAGTAGCCTAGGGCATGAATGCCTCACTGCTGTTTATTATTGTTATTACATAAGTTTCAGGTGCACAGCTTTATAATTTAAACATCTGTACACTACAAAATGATCACCACAAGTCTACTTACTATTCATCACCATACAGTTGACCCTTCACCCATTTTGCCCAATCCCCAACCTCCTTCCCCTCTGGTAACTACTAGTCTGTTATCTGTCGGTTTGGTTTGGTTTGTTAGATTCCATGTATCAGTGAAATCACCCGTATTTGTCTTTCTCCATCTGACTTATTTTACTTAGTTAGCATAATCCCCTCAAAAGTCCATCTATGTTGTCACAAATAGCAAGATCTCATTCTTTTTTATAGCTGAGTAATATTCCACTGTATAAATATATCACATCTTTATTCATTCATCTGTCAGTGAACATTTAGATTGTTTACATACCTTTATTGTGAGTAAGGCTTTTGTGAATGTAGGGGTGCATATATCTTTTTGAATTAGTGTTTTCATTTTCTTCGTGTAACTATTCAGAGGTAGAATAGCTGGGTCATATGGTATTTCTATTCTCAATTTTTTGAGGAATCACATAGTGTTTTCCACAATGGTTGTACCAATTTACAATGCCACCATCAGTGTGCAGGTGTTTCCCTGTCTCCATACCCTCATCAACACTTGTGTTTTCTTGTCTCTTTGATAATATCCACTGTAACAGGTTTGAGGTGATCCCTCATTGTGATTTTGATTTGCATTTCCCTAATAGTGATCTTGAGCATCTTTTCATGTAGCTATTGTATGTCTTGTGTGCTGTCTGTATGTCTTTGAGGAAATGTCTGTTCAGATTTTCTGCCCACGGGCGCCTGGGTGGCTCAGATGGTTAAGCGTCTGCCTTCCGCTCAGGTCATGATCCCAGGCTCCTGGGATCGAGTACATAGGGCTCCGTGCTCAGCGGGGAGCCTGCTTCTCCCTCTGCCTCTCTCTCTCTCTGTCTCTTATGAATAAATAAATAAAATCTTAAAAAAAACAACAGATTTTCTGCCCATTTTTTAATTGGGTTGTTTTTTGTTGGTGTTGAGTTGTACGGTTCTTTATATATTTTGGTTATTAACTCTTTATCGGGTGTATGGTTTGCAAATATATTCTCTTCAGTAGGTTGCCTTTTCATTTTGATGTTAGTTTCCTTTGCTGTGCGGAAGCTTTTTAGTTTGGTGTAGTTCCACTTCTTTATTTTCTTTTCATTTCTCTTGTTTTTGGAGTCAGTTCCACAAAGACCTCACTAAGACTGGTGTCCAGATTACCAACTATGTTTTCTTCTAGGAACTTTATGGTTTCAGGTCTTCTATTCAGGTCTTTAATACATTCTGAGATAATTTTTGTGAATGGTGTAAGATAGTGGTCTAGTTTCATGCTTTTGTATATAGTTGTCCAGTTTCCCCAACACCAGTTATTGAAGAGACTATCCTTTCTCTGTTGAATGTTCTTGGCTCATTTGTTGTAGATTAATTGTCCATACCTGTGTGGGTTTATTTCTGGGCTCTCAATTCTGTTCGACTGATCTGTGTGTCTTTTCTTATACCAATAGTGCTACTTTGATTACTACAGCTTTGTAACATAGTTTGAAATGGGGGAGTGTGAGATCTCCGGCCTTGTTCTTCTTTATTAAGATTGCTTTGGCTTTTCAGTATCTTTTGTGGTTCCATATAAATTTTAGAATTGTTTGTTCCTGTTCTGTGAAGTGTGCCATTGGAATTTTGATAGGTATTTCACTGAATCTGTAGATTGCTTTAGGTGGTATGGACATTTTAACGATATTCTTCCAATTCATGAGCACAGATTATCTTTCCATTTCTTTGTGTCGTCTTCAGTTTATTTCATCAGTGTCTTATGGTTTTCACCTCCTTGGTTAAATTTATTCCTAGATATTTTATTCTTTTTGATGTAATTGTAAATGGAATTGTTTTCTTAATTTCTTTTTATGATGTTTCATTGTTAGTGTGTAGAAATGCCACAGATTTCTGTGTACTGATTTTGTATCCTGCAGTTTTACTGAATTCATGTATCATGTCATCTGCAAATAGTGACTGTTTTACTTTTCCCTTTCTGATTTGGATGCCTTTTATTTATTTTGCCTCATTGCCATGACTGGGACTTCCAATACTATGTTGAACAAAAGTGACAAGAATACGCATCCTGTCTTAGATGAAGAACTTTCAGCTTTTCCCCACTGAGTGCGATATTAGCTGTAGGATTGTCATGATGGCTTTTATTACGTTGAGGTATGTTCCTTCTGTATCCACTTTGTTGAGAGTGGGTATATCTTTCATAAGTGGATGTTGAATTTTGTCAGCTGCTTTTCCTGCATTTATCGAGATGATCATATGATTTTTATCTGTCATCTTGTTGATGTGATGGATCACATTGATCTACAGATGTTGAACCATCCTTGAATCCATAAGTAAATCCCACTTGATCATGGTATATGATCCTTTTATTGTATTATTGGATTTGGTGTGCTAATATTTTATTGATGATTTTTGCATCTGTGTTCATCAAGGATATTGGACTAATTTTTTTTTAATAGCACCCTGGTCTGGTTTTAGTACAAGGGTAATGCTGGCCTCATAAAATGTGTTTGAAAGTTTTTCCTCCTCTTTGATTTTTTGGAAGACTTTGAGTGTAGGTATTAAATCTTCTTTTAATGTTTGGTGGAATTTGCCAGTGAATCCATCTGGTTGGTCCCTGAACTTTTGTTTGTTGGGAGATTTTTGATTACTGTTTCAATCTCCTTACTAGTAATCGGTGTATTCACATTTCCTATTTCTTCATCATTCAGTCTTGCAAGATTGTGTGTTTCTAGGAATTTATCCATTTCTTCTAGGTTGTCCAGTTGGTTTGTAATTTTTCATAGTAGTCTCTTAATGATCCTTTGTATTTCTGTGGAATTAGTTGTAACTTCTCTTTCATTTCTGATTTTGAGCTGTCTCTCTTTTTTCCTAGCCACAGACTGAAAGTAAAGAGATGGAAAAAAATAGTCCATACAAATGGAAATGGAAAGAATACTGAAGTAACTATACTCATATCAGACAAAATAGACTTTTAAAACAAAGATTGTAATAAAAGACAAAGGAGGGCATTCATTACATGATGATAAAGAGGTTGATCCAGCAAGAAGACAGAACATTTTTAAAGATATATGCACCCAACATTGGAGCATCAAAATCTGTAACACGAATATTAACAGACCTAAAGGGAGAAATTGAAAGCAATACAATAGTAGTAGGAGATTTTATTTATTTTATTTTTTTAATTTTTTAAATTTTTTTTTGTAGTAGATTTTAATAGCCAGCTTTCATCAGTGGATTAAAAATCAATAAGGAAACATCAGCCTTAAATGACGCAGTAGACCAGGTGGACTTAATGGATATAGACAGAGCACTCCCTCTAAAAGCAGCAGAGTACACATTCTTCTCAAGTGTTCATGGAACGTTCTGTAGGATAAATCACATGGGGTCACAAAATAAGTTTCAATAACTTCAAGAAGGTTGAAATCATACCAAGCATTTTTTCCCATCACTTTAGTATGAAACTAGAAATTAATTACAAGAGGAAACCCCACAAAAATGAGATTAAACAACATGCTGCTGATCAACCAATGGGTCACTGAAGAAAATCAAAGGAGAAATTAAAAAATACCTGGAGACAGATTAAAACAGAAATATGACCTACTGATATCTATGGGATGTAGCAAAAGCAGTTCTTAGAGCAAAGTTCATAGCAGTACAGGCCTACTTCAAGGAAGAAGAAAAATCTCAAACAATGTAACTGTAACTTTATACCTAAAGGACCTAGAAAAAGTAAAAACAAAGCCCCAAGTAAGGAAGGGAATAATAAAGATCAGAGCAGAAATAAATGAATTAGAGAAACTAAAAAGACAAGAGAAAGGATCAGTGAAATTAAGAGCTGGCTCTTTGAACAGAGAAAATTGACAAACCCTTAGCTGCATTCACTGCTCTTTCTGCATCTATGGTTTTCTCTTTTAAAACCAGGGGTTGGGGGAGAAAGTTTAAGGTTATAGTGCTGATTAAATCAGATGAGGGTGCAAGAGTGGAGCTCTGGGATCCTGTGCCCTTGTGCCCACTCATGCACATGTCAGTAACGAGGAGGTAGTAAATCAGAGGGGAAAGCAGATTCGGGTGCTTCCCTGGATTAGGAAAACTCTCCTTAAATTTCTGGGTAGTTGTTAGAAGCAGGTAGGTTTTGCTGACCCAGAAAGGGTCCAAGAGCCAGGAGAAGAGCTGTGGCTCCCTTCTCTATGTATGTAAAGGGGATTCTCAGCCTTGT